CAATGACCTTTAAGGTCTTTTCCAACCCCAACATTTCTATGATTCTACACTTTTTTTTTTCTTCTTTTTGTCTTTAAAACATGTAAGGAGGAGCTCCTTTCACTTAATGTTCTCAAGAATGCTTTGAGGGCTGGAGAAGGCCACGGTACCCGCTCTCTGTCCTCTGGTTGCACTGGCTGTTGATGCACTGGGGGAGAGCATCCTGCAGGCTGGGGTCGATGGCTGTGAAGGTCATGGGCTCCTGATGGACTTCACAACTTGGATTCCTGCATTTGGGCAAAAAGTGAAGCCTTGTTTTACAAAAGCAGTCAAAGCACCATCAACAAAACCCATCATTTTTACCTACTACCATCCTCTGCTTAATTCTACTAAAAATATCATCTATTCTTTCCCCTATCACCTCTAAATTAGCATAAACAAACAACTGGTTTTGTTAGCTAACTTCTCTCAAATGCTGCTCCAGCAGAGGAGGTCTGTTCTCAAGGCCAGGTTGGATGAGGCTTTGAGCAACCTGGTCCAGTGAGAGGTGTCCCTGCCCATGGCAGGGGGGTGGGACCGGGGGGTGCTTGAGGGTCCCTTCCAACCCATTCTGTGATTCTATGGCCTTCCAACCCAACCCATTCCATGATTCCAAGGGTCCCACCTGCTCTCGGCGTTGGTGAGGTTGCCGGTGCACTCGTTGACCTCCAGCGGGCACTCGCAGGGACACTCACACTCATTCTGCTCCATTCTGCAGGGGCAGAAAACACAGAGGACACCCATCAGACATGGCACCAAAGCTTCAACCCCACGAGGCAGCTCCTGAGCAGCAGCTCCCCGTGGAGAGGGCTGTGCAGGAACCTTCCTCCTTCCACTGGCGTTGCTCTACTCTGAACCTGAGGGCAATGTAGTAATGGAGCCTCTCTGATCTGCTGCCCACCTTCTGGGACTTAAAAATGCAGATAACTCCTGGACAAGTCTCACATCTAGATTCAAGGATCCTTCTTGCCAGCCCAACAAACATAGTGATGCTGATGTAGGGAAAAATCTGCAAGCACCAGGATGCCCTCAGTGAAAGACCCCATCAATCCACACACAATCATGGGTATTCACACACCAGAACAAAGGGCCTGATCCTCAGAGAACTGTCCCAAGAAACTGAATCTGTCATGAGCTCTCACCTACCTAAACATGCCAAGAAGAATCTACGTTGTGTTTTTATGCACCAACAACATCACAAAGAATCAGAGGCCTGCTGAGTCACCAGGTGTCTGACAGAGAGCGCCGGTGAAGTCACTATTCCGTGGTCACTTCAGTTCTGCACTGCTTGTTTGCATTTCATTTCGTGTGTTCTTATAACCCTTGGCTCAAGGAAGAGGGGAGGAGCAGAGGCCTGGAGCAGGCTGTCCCTGCCCCACGTGGGCTCACCTGTGGCAGTTGAGGCAGAGCCTATCCACCATGCTGCAGGCACAGAAGGCGAGCGAGTCGCAGGTCTCGTTGACGATCCCCACGAAGGCGTTGGTGCCTGGGATCCTCGTCAGCCTGTACTTGGAGCAGTGACTGCCATGCACAAGGTTTGTCAGGTCACCCTAAGAAAGAAGGAGACAGTGTCAATGGTGTAGCAAGAAACCCTGTTGTTTTAGGGAGCTGAAGACTTTCCCCCTTCCAAGGAAGCCTCCAGAGCCGAGGGAACGCAACTGCATGGGAGAACCCCCTGCACAAATAGGAAGCGTACACAGTTGTTCATCAGTCTCTTTAGTTTTGCTTCCAAGCTGCTGCTGGGTGGGAAGATTTTGCAGAAGGCAGAAAAAAAAAAATACACTCAGCTTGTGAACGTTATGAGGTGTGGTGGCAAAGTTGGGGCAAATATCCTGCTGGGAGCAGGTGACACTTGGCTCCTTCACAGCACTCACTGCCCCATCCGCACTGCCCCCGCCACCGGTGACCTCCACAGGCTCTGCTCTGACAAGGGGGCACCATCACAACTTGTTGAAAACTTCTGGGCACAGGTACTATGACAAAACCCCCCACAGCACTGTCCAGCTGTGACCTGGTTCATAGGCAGACTCATTTTTGGTTCCTATTTGCAAGCCACAAGTTTAAGTTTTTGCTCTGCCCTCCACAATTTCCTTGACAGTTGATCCACTTGCTGTTTTGCTTCCCAAGTGTGGGAAAAATGTTTAAGCCTACCTGACATCAATCAATGTATTCCGACATAACTTCTACTCCTGATGCTCATTTCCCAAGAATAATTGACAGGTATTATTTAAAGAGCAACTTCTCCCACAGAGCTCAACACCTTGTGAATAATTCTGCAGTGACCTCGCAAGGGTGGATCTGAGCACATGAGGAAGCTCAAACACAACCCACAGGGACCACAGAGCATTTGGGTCTCCAAGGAATGCACTCTGACATCAGAACTCTGAATGCTCATGTGCATCACATCAGTAAATGATTTCTTTGGACACTGAACAAAAAAAGAAGTTATTAGAGACCTGTGTCACCTTCCAGCCTCCTCTGCTGAGCCTGGCACCACCAAAAGAAACCCAACCCAACCAAAGAACATTCCAAAGCAAAATGAAAGAGAAACCACTCACCACCAAGCTGGTATTGAATTTATAAAACCTCTGCACCGTTCTGTCACTGAAGCTGTTGCAAAGGTTCTTCTTGACAAAGTTGGGGTGGTTCAGAATGTCATTTGCCACCAGAGGCTCCTAAGTGAAAAATGTCAGATTTTATCCCTTTGAAACCAGAAGCAACCAGCGACTCCTCTACGGTCCTTACAGAAAGTGGAGAAGGTGGGAACAAAGCAAGGGAAAAAGGAGCCAGACCTTGTGTGTGATGTGCTGCTGCTCCACGGGCGCGTGGCCTTTGGGATCGATGAGGGTTGGGTGTGCCACCAGGTACCCTCTGTCCTCCATGATGAAGCACCTGCCCCCAACAAACAAAGCACAGAGCCCCCCATGAGACCTCTCTGGGGCAGAGAAATAAACCGTCATCTTCTATTTACAGCTAGACGAAGGATCTTTGGAAGCTTCCATGGATGAAAATAACAGGGCCATTAAACAAAGCCCCTGCACAGTGTCTCTGAAGAATGTGTTGGGTATTTCCCTGAAGCTTTTCAGTCTGCTGCTGCTACAGCAAGCCTGGACCATCAAGGATTTCAAAATGGAACTGCTTAGGAACTGAAAGGAAAACTGCTCAGTGCGTTGTCTTCTCTGACTGGGAGGATCCAGAACTAGATGAAGCCTAATGAACTTGGAAAGCTTTAACTACTTATTAATCTACCATGTTACTAATTAAACAGAGATTTCACCCTCTCCTTTAATAACCTCCCGCTTCAGAATTTGATTTTTAAGAGGGAGATAAATCACTCCTGTTTCATTTTCAGCCTTCCCAACCTTCCCTCTCCCTTTTCAGCTAGTCCGGTGTGATCCCAGGGAAATGATGGTGCCAGATCTGCTCCCCCAGCCAGAAACCAGTGTGCTGTGAGCTTTTATTCCATGATTATTTCTTTACTGCCCCAAACTGGGTTTTGCATTAGAAATTCACGTCGTGATGTTGCATTTGCTCTTTCTTGTGAAAGATGCTCTAGGCAAGGAGAGAACAAGTAGGCTTGTGATCACCCCAGAGGGACTGCAGAGAGGAAAAGCTGAGTGGAGATGGAGTAAAAACCCCCAGTTCCTGCCAGGGAGTTCAAATAGTTGCCTCTTAGTGCCCATGTGCATTTACTCAAAGGCTGTAAGCATGAGATCCAGCTTCTATGTTAGAATGATTTAACAAAGCACAGAACAATATGCTTGAAATTCCTCATTTAGGGAATACAGAAACAGAATAAAGCATCTGCCCCTGTTGATTATTAATAGTTTTTAACTGGGAGGGAAGGACTGCCATATCAGACACCCTGATCTACCTTGTTTTTTTGCTTTATACACTGTAAAAAAATATAAAAATCTACCCAAACTAGGAAAGAAACAGGAGGATGACATCAAACCACTTCCCTTCCCAAATTTAAGGTTTAAAAAAAAAGCAAAGTAACAACAACAATGCCCAGATCATGTTATCAAGTTACTCCAGATCCAAACTAGAGGCCACCCTACGTGACTTTTTTAAAAAAAAGGGTAAAGATACACACAGGTCTAAATAAAATTAGATCATCCCAATGAAATCAGACTTCTGATGAATGCTGTGCTACGTAGTTCTGAGAAAAAGATAACAAAAGTGTATTTTAATAATCACACTCAAAATAATTAGGGCTAAAACATCATTATGACATGTAACATAATCAGTTAGAGTAACTAAATCAGTTACAGTAGCTGAATTCATTTTCAGGCAAATAAAAACAAGCAGAAAAGAATGTGAAGAGTGTTTGCTAATGGTTGGACTCGATGATCTGAAAGGTCTCTTCCAACCAAAATTATTCTATGATTCATTTAATGAAAAAATGTTTTCTTGCCCAGGATTTCAGCAAAGTCTAAATATAACAAAAAAAATTAATCAGTTATTTTGAGTTTGTCTTCCTGCAGACTGTTAGCTTGGCTGATGACAGTTTGATCTTCAGTAACAAGAAAGTCCAGATCATCTTTATGAGAACAACAAGCCCAAATTTTAGTGGAAATCAGAGAACACACGCTGAAAGTAAACAGAATCCCACACTAAATTAAGTTGGAAAGTACCTCTGGGTCTCCTGGTTAAAGAAAAAAAAAAGAACCAACAAAAGGAATCAAAGTTTCAGGTATTTCTTGCCTGGCATGAAGGCCTCACCTTATTTTGTTTCCTCCGTCTTGGTTGCAGACTGGCAGCAGGTCCATGAGCACCTTGTAGAAGTATCTCAGGGTGAAGTCAATGCCCATTACTGCCACCGAATGTCCTGAAGACATCTGAGCACTGCAGAGAGGGGAGGGAAAAAGGAAAGAGGCTTTCAGGGCTGAGTTAATAATTACTATTTTAATATTAATTGAACAAGCACTCCTCTTTGCTCAGCCCCACTGGCACTGACGTGCTGGCTGATGACCACCCTGTGCCAGGGGACATTCTAAAACCACCACTTCACAACTGTTCCTGCCCAGTATCCTTCTCCAACACAGGGCAATCACAAACCAGGCATTTTGGGAAAGGGCAGAGCCTGGGGTCCCTGTGGGAGCTCACCAGCACTGGCAGCAAGAGCTGCTGTGAGCTGCAATATTTCACCCACTGCTGAAAATCTGCTTCTGGTCCTATTTTTACACCAGTTTGGGAGTACACACAGTTGCCTTAGCAACTGATACATCAAAGGCCAACAAAACAGTCTCAGGCTGATGTGTGGAATTGTATTTTCTTACAGTTCTATGAAGGTTCCAAAAGGGCTATTTTTGCCCATTTGTATTGTTTTAGCTTCCACAGAATCCCAGCATGGTGGGGGTTGCAAGGGACCCCTGGGATCACTTCATCCAACCCCCTGCCCCAGCAGCTCACCCACAGCAGGGTGCCCAGGATGGTGCCCAGGG